CTGGGAGCGCGTGGCCTTCGCCTACCTGAGCCCGCTGGTGCTGCGCAAGGAGCTGGAGAGCCTGGTGGAGAACGAGGGCGGGGAGCTGCTGGCACGGCCCGAGCTCGTGGACAGCCACCCCATCATCTACTGGAACCTCGTGTGGTATTTCCAGCGCCTGGCCCTGCCCAGCAACCTCCCCCTGCTGCTGCTGGGCTCCCAGCACGCCCCCCGCGACCCCCAGGTGGGCTTTGGGGGGCAAACAGGGGCTGGGGGGGGGGCTGTGAGGGGCTCTGGGGGTTCCTGCCCGGTGCTGACGCCCTCCCCAATTCCGTCCTGCAGCCCCCCGAGCCCTCCCGGGTCCGTGTGAGGCTCCTGTGGGATGTGCTGAGCCCCGACCCCGAGAGCTGCCCCCCACTCTACGTCCTGTGGAGGCTGCACAGTGCGTGGGGAGAGGGGGTGGGAATGTGGGAGTGGGATTTGGGAATGGGAGTGTGGGAATATGGGGATATGGGGATGGGGGTGTGGGAGTAGGGGTATGGGATTGGGGATGGGAACGTGGGAGTGGGGATGGGGATGTGGGAATGGGAGATGTGGGAATGGGGATGGGGATATGGGAGTGGGAGATGCGGGAATGGGGGATATGGAGGGATGGAAGGAGTAGGGGAATGGCCAAGAGCAAAAAGGGGGATCCAGGACACCTTGGAGTCCCCCAGGTAACATCCCTGGGGATTTGGGGACTCTGGGGTCACTCTGGGGTCACTCTTTGGGGTCTCCCAGGTAACATCCCCCCTCGGCTGCACCCCTGGGGACCCCCAGCTCCGCCGTTCTCGCTGACGTTCCTCGAGGCCCTGCTGAGCCACGTGGGGCTCAACGAGGTGCACAAAGCCATTGGGCTCTTCCTGGACACCCTGGCGGCGCCCGGAGCCCCCCGGACCCTGCACAGGTACGGAGAGACCCCCCGAATGCCCCGCAAATTCCCCCCAAATCCCCCCAAAATCCTCTCATGGCTCCTCCTGCAGGAGCATCTACCGGGAGCTGCTGTTCCTGACGCTGGCGGCGCTGGGCCGGGAGCACACGGACATCGGTGAGGGGCTCGGCCTGGGGGGGCACGGGGCTGGTGTTGGGGGGCTCGGGGATCCAGGGGGCTCGGGGGGGACACGGGGGGTGGCACAGAGGGACAGGGGGAACCGTGGGGGTTCAGATTGCTCAGGGAGCGAGCTCAGGGTGTGGTCAGGGTGGGGGGCATGGGGGTCTGGGGCACTCCTGGGGGGGTCTCAGGGGTTCCGGGCTGACCCCCTGTCTCTCCCCCTCCCCAGCCGCCTTTGACCGCCGGTACCGCTCGGCGCTGGGCAAGCTCGGGGGGGCTCTGGGCCGGGACGAGCTGCGGCGGCGGCGGGCGCAGCCCCCCAGCGCCAAAGCCACCGACTGCCGCCGCACCTTCGGGGCCCCCCCCGAGTGCTGAGCGGGGAACGGGACCCCAACCCCCGGGCAGGAGACCGGGAAACGGGACCCCCCCCCCACCCCCCCGAACTCCAGGATACCCCAAATGCTCCAGGGTGGGAGAAGGAAACCCCCCAGTATTAGACAGGACCTCCCCCCCCTGGGGGAACGACCCCCCCCCCCAGGGTCCCCCCAAAGTGTGACAGGGACCCCCTGAGTGTCAGGGGAGGGCCGAGGTGGGCAAGGGACCCCCAGGACCACCCTCAAATGCTCCAGGGTGGGGAGAAAGGGACCCCCGGCAACCCCCAGGCTCACGACGGGTTTTATATGTCAGTGTTAATATATTTTTATTTATTTATTCATCCTCCCCAGAGTGAGAGCGCGGGTGGGACGTGCAGGGGCGGCTCTGGGTGTTTCCCCCTCCTCATTTTTTGCCTCGGTTCTCACCTAGGAGGGCTGGGGGTGGATTTTTTCCCCCCTCAGGTGGTGACAGGGCAGCTGGGGGGGTTCTGGGTTTGTCCCCCCCATCATCTCCAGCCCTTCCGCGCCCCCCGGGGGGGTTTGGTGGCCATTGGGAGGGGGTTCGGGGCCGCCCCCTCCCCTTGCACTGTGCAATAGCAGCCCCCGCCCCAGGGGCCTGTAAATAAAAGCTGCTGCGGTATTTTCCTCGCTGCCTCCAGGGTGATTTTTTTTTTTAGTGGAGGAGGGGGGTCTAGGGGTGCGGAACCCCCCAGGGGTGGCGATGAGGGGGGAACTGAGGCCGTGTCCGCCATCTTCGACCCTGGCACGGCCGGGGCGCTGCCCTCAGGCCGCCATCTTGGATCCTGGCACGGGCCATGAGGCCTCGCGGGCGCCGGGCCCTGCTCGCTGCCGCCCCGCCGGGCCTGGGGGCGTGCGGGGGCTCTGCCCGGTGCCCCCGGAGCCAGGACCACCCTCGGAGGCAAGCGCGGCCTCGCACCGGCGCCACGTGCGGCGGAACCGGGCCGGTATCGGGCCCGGGGCTGGTACGGCGGCCGCAAGGGGCCAAATCTCCCTCCCGGGCCGGGAGAGAAGTCGCGCGCCGCCACCGCGCGCCGCCCGCGATACCCGGATGCTCAGACCCGGGGACCCATTAAAGGCGCCCCGCGGGGAAGCTCGGCGCGTTGCCATTGGTGCAGCGAGACGTCAATCATTGCTAAGGCATCCAGTAAAAGCCGGAAGGGGGGCTAAGAGCGGATGGCAGCGATGCAATTGGTGACACCGGGTGCCTGTCAAAGCGCCGCACCAATGGGCGTCGCGGCTGGGGTCGGGAGGCGGGGCGGGCGCGGCGGCGGCGGCGGCCAATCAGCGGCATTGTTTGTGGTGGTGCCGGTTGCGCTCGGCGGCGGCCGCGTCTGCTCCGCCCGCCCGGCCCGGGACCCCCGGGACCCCCCCGGGACCCGCCGGGATCCGCCGGGAATCCACCGGGAAACGCCCGGAAACGCCGGGAACCCGCCGCGATCCCCCGCGACCCCCGAGCCAGGTGAGGCCTGCGGGGGCGGCGGGGCCGGGCCCGGCGGGGGCGGGGCAGGGCCTGGTTGAGGGGGGGGCGAGACCCGGGGGATGGGGGGGAATTTTGGGGCGGCTGAGGGCGGATTTTGGGGGGGCTGAGGGGCGATTTGGGGGCGCTGCGGGCAGAGGCAGAGCCCGAGGGGTTGCGGGCGATCGGGGCTGTGCCTTGTGGGCGCAGAGCTCGGATTTGGGGGGGCAGAGCCCGAGGGGCTGGGCGGCGGCAGAGCTCGGATTTGGGGGAGCAGAGCTCGGCGATTTGAGGGGTGCCGAGCCCAGAGGTTTGGGTACCAGAGCCTCAAGGATTGGGGGCACAAAGCAGAAACATCTGGGAGGGAGAAGAGCTCGGATTTTGGGGAGCAGATCTCAGAGATTTGGGGTTGCAGGACTCGGGGATTTGGGGGCGCAGAGCTCAGAATTTGGGGCACAGCCTGACGGGTTGGTGGGGGGCAGAGCTCAGGGATTTTGGGGAGGGGCAGAGCTCAGATTTTCGGGAGCAGAGCCCGAGAGGTTTTTGGGGGCACAAAGCAGATGGATTTGGGGGGGGACAGATCGGGGGGTGGGGGCAGAGCTCCGGGATTTTGGAGAGCAGAGCTCACATTTTGGGGATCAGCCCGGGAGGTTTAGGGGAGCGCCGGGGAATCCCCCGGGAAAACGGGGAAGGGGCGGGGGCGGCCCGGGGGATCCCGGAGGGATTTCGGGGGGCGGATGCCGGGAACCCCCCCCGGAGAGCCCCCCTTTGTTCCCCTCCGTCCGTGCCGGGATTCGGGAGCGGTTCCCGATCCTTTCCGCGCCGTTTCCCCGTTCCCTGCTGGAAGCGGGTCCCGGCCTCATCCAGGATTTCCGCCCCGCGGGATTCTCCCTCTTTTCCTGCTGCCCCCCCAACTCTTTTCCCGGTGCTGCTTCCCCAGCTCAAAGCCAGCAGGGAAACTTTGCCATCCCTGGAATAACGCGGAGCCGGAGCCTCCGGCGCTGCCCGCGCCCCTTCCCGGTTTTTGGGTGGGATCGGGATGAAAACGCCGCACTGGGGGAAGGGGAGGGGGGCACGGACCCTTCCTCACCCACATTTGGGAAGCTGGATCCTCTCCCAGGAGGAGAACCGAGAGGATTTCTCCTCCCGAGCATGAGGATTTCTGCTCCAGAGGAGAATCCTTTCCCAGATTCCCAAAATTGAGGCGTTTGGGCACTTTCCCCCTCCCCTCGGAGCCTGGAAAAGGGATCTGTGATGGCGGGGGGAGGGGGTGGTTTGCCGGGAAGAGAGGAGGAGGAGGAGGAGGAGGAGGAGATTTGGGAATCTGGGAGCAGGGAGGAAGAGCGGCGGCGTAGGATGCGCCGGGATCGATTGGCTTTTCCAGAGCGTTTTTGATCTTTTTTTATTTTAAATATCCATTTGGTTTTCTGGAGCTTCCTCGGCCGCTGCATGGCAGGAGGAGGAGGAGGAGGAGGAGGAGGAAGGGGGAGCACGGGAATGGGAACAGCCTCCTCCTGGCAGGAGTGTGGGAGGATTTGACTCCTGTTCCTCGGCGCTCCCGGGTGGGGGTTGGGGCGGGATCGCACAGGCAGCCGCGGTTTTTCGGGAATTTCAGGGCTTTGAAGGGTTGGGGGTGCAGGGATGAGACCCTGGCACGTCCCAGGGTTTGGGACATCCACCACGCTCCAGTTGCTGTTGGGGTGAAATGGAGCCGGTGTGTCCACAGGGATGCTCCCATCCCTGAGGATTCCCCATCCAGGATTGTGCTGGATTCCCTGGATTGTCACTTGCCTGTGGTGTGGATCCACCCGAGGGATGGCTCTGATCCTTGGGGATTTGGTGCCACCTTCTCCTGCACTGATGGAGATGATCCATTTATCCATCCATTTATCC